CACACATTAACACTTGAAACTGGTTGTAAGCACTCATCATATGGCTCAAAGTTATGGCACTCCAGGGCAGGATGATCTCTAAGCCGTGCTACCCACTCTAGGCTATGCCTTAGTGTAAATACCCCACCTACCCCGACTCTGCTCACCCATATTGAGCCCACAGCCCCCACTCCCTTTCCAGCACCCCAGATCCCCACTCACTCTCCCCTTCCCCATTTACTTGTAGTTGCCCGCACTGTCTGATCTGGGGGAACAGGCGGGGAAAGGTTAACTTGCCTGCCCTCCCACTGCTGCCACAGCTGCACTCTGGGTAGGCTAAGCCCAGAGAAGAACAGCAGCTTGGCAATGCAGCTAGGTTAACATGGGCAGCCATAAATAAATGGGGAAGCAGCAGGAAGCCCAGGGGCTGGGTGAAGGGACATGGGGCAGCGGGTAAGCCCAGAATGAGAGGAGGAGCTAGCACTAATACTGATCAACATCTGTACAGCACACAGTGTAAGATGTAACAATTTCAGAAGAAAGTCTTCTCAGGGCACTGTTAGCCAAAAGGAATTGGACACTGGAGCATGTGTTCTATGATAGAGCCACAACTATGAGAAGTATCTATCCTGGTTCTGTGGATGACCATGGGCTCTAGGGTGAGTATGTTATGATTAATATCTTTAGAGAGCATGAGAGTGCTCTGTTATTTCACAACTCAAAATTTCAGCAGACATAAAATTTCAAAAATTGATCACATCAGAAGAAAAAGAAAATGGTACCTTGGCAAGTAAATTTTTTAGATGGAGTTGTGAGAAGTAGCTTATCTGCCATTTCTCCAGGACCAGCGCAACGTGCAATACCCGGTTCTTTGTATTCTGACTTAACCCAGTCGGATAGCCACTGCATGTTACAATCACAGTAAAGTGGGTTTGCTCCAATAGCACTGAAAGAGGAAAAAAAAGATAACGGTTTTATGTAGTTGCTTTCAGGAAAGCAAAATGAAAATATGATCAGTAGACAAGACTGAAATGTAAACTTGTCCTGTGGCTTGGCTGAATCTTGGCTTTGAAGCTAGGGAAGATATTTAGCAGCAAACTCTGTTTTGAGTCATAGCCATTGCTCAGTTATGGGCTGATGCTAATGAGCTCTGTATCATCCCTGGTACTTAATGGACAAAGTCTGTAAGTTAACAGAAATCATCTTCAGCTGCAGAAAAAAAAAACTGTCTCAGGAAATTTAGTTACCCAGAGAATGAAGCATCACCCTCTGCATTCCTAGGAATCTTGAGCCTGAAAAGTAGAGTCCTCACCCCCTTTTTAAAACAACGTACTTCCTTCTTTGACCTCATGGCTGCATGACCTTCATAAATCACTGGGAATGGCAGAAGCAATTTCTGATTTAATTGTTTTTTCATCTGTGATCCCATGGGAAAACCCTTCCATGTGCCTATATTAAAAAAAAATCTCTGTGCAAACTCAGTGGTGCCAACATCAGTGGTGGTCATTATGGAGGTACTGCCGTAAGAGCTGTTCATTGGGAAGGAATCAAATCGTGATGCTAATTATTTTAGCAAGTTCCTTTGTATCAGCAATAGACAATATTTTTTAGCAACTGGCTAAAATGACCCAGCTTTTCTCTCTTTTGAAGGGACATGCATCTCAACTCAAAATTACAGAGAAAGATCCCTTGTTGGGAAAAGAACAATTGTGAAGAACATGATCAAACCTTCTCTTCTCAAGAAACAGGGGAAATGGCTGGAGTGCATGAAAATACAGCCATCTCCTAGAAGAAAGTAGAGGTATTTCTCTTTCTGCTGACACCATGTCACAAAGTGGTGGCATAAAAATGCCAGCAGGTAGAACAGAAGAGAGAAATTACCTATTCAGCATCAAAATCTTGGCAAGTCTGTAGTGTCAACTATAAAAAACAGCATTTTTTGTGTGTGGAAAAATTGTACAGTGCCTATGCTCTGGTGCTCCACACATTTTTAAAATGCTCTCAAGAGAACGGCCAACATTACTTATAGCTGCCATTTTAGAATCAAGGAAGGGGGAAAAAGTAAGTTAAAGTCCAAATTAAAAAAAAAAAAAAAAAAAAAAATCAATCCCTTTGTCATGTTTTTCATTAAACAAGCAATTCCTGTTTTTCCTTTGCCCCCCTTGACCTCCTTTCCCTTACTTCTTTCAAATTGCCCATCTCAGTTTTAGCATGTGCATGAAAGCATGAGTACCTTGATAGCAACATTTTAATCAGCCGTGACATAAGGATGACATGAAAAATACTCAACATGCTCTCAAATTTCAGCGAAATCTCCAGATGGCATATTCATGTCTAAGGACAAAGCTGGATCTAAAGCAGGTGACTGTTCATATAAAGCCTTTAAAAACTGCAGCTGTTCAACAGCATCACATTCAGGTACACCTGTACACAGATGTGTACCTTTTCTTCTATTGCAAAAAACAAAGATTCAGTATCTTCCTCTAAAACCAAACAAATACTTAAAGCTCCCACTTGTCTGTTTCTTTTGTGTCATACAGAAAGTGAAGGAGAACAGGAAGATACTACTGCAGAAAAGAAAAGTTTTCCATGAATGCTCATGTACGCAGGAAATCAACACTTATATATGTAACAATATACAAATACCAAATACTTACAGATGTGATAATGCTGAAAGATCATTAAAAGCTCCTTCAGGAACAACAGAAATATCGTTGCCATGTAAAGACCTAAGAAAATAATCAAAATATTTTTTTCCCTTCTCTTTGAGTGAAAGTAGAAGTAAAAGGATTTTTTTGTTTTGTTATTTGTAATGTCAATTAGAGAAGCAAGACACCTGAAATTTAACTTTTCATTTTGAAGGTTTACCAATTTTGTTCTCTCTCACACTGAATTACATTTCCTGTGGTTTTCAGTTCTTCCCAAGACTACACAACTGCCCACCCATGGCAGAAATGCAGAAAAAGTACTATTTCTGAAATGTTTAGCATTTAACTATAAAATGTGTTTAATGTTCTTTCCACTTGTTTTTTCATGGAAACTACATGTAACAAATATGTTCATGAAAACAAATTTTAAGTTCTAAATTTTAATTAGTTTAATTGTAAAATGAAGCCTCTTTATTGGTCAAAATGCAGGACTAATTTAGTCACACACTGGGCAAACCTATCCAACTAGTTTCTTTCCCTTTTTATGTACCCATTCATTTACGTATACATCTACACGTACCCATGTTTATGATTAAAACCATGTGATATCTATATTTGTATAAAAGCAACATCTAACAAAGGTTATGTATACACCCTCTAAATATAAATGTGTTAGAGATATCTGACCCAATCATGCTATAAAATGGTTTCAACATAGCTGTGGAGACAGAAAAAAAACCATTCAGAAGGATCTTAGAAAGCTAGGCTAGAGCTAAGAGGATGAAGTTCAATGCAGACAAATGCAAGGTGTTACTCAATATGAGTCTGCGGTGTGATGCATCTGTATACAAGACAAATGCAGTTTTGAGATGCAGAAGCATGAGGTGCAAGACATGAAAAGTGACAGTGCCTCTTTACTTGGCATAGAGACAAAAAAAACCATATAACAAGGGCCTTTTGTTTAAAAATGGTAGTTTTTATAGGACATAAATATTTTTTTAACAAAAACTGTCAAATGACTACTTTGTTTTTCGTTCTCCATTTTTTCCTTTCCCCATTTTGTACTAAAAAAATAAGTAGTTTTCTATTATAAAAAGTTTCAGTAACATATCATATCTAAGGTACATATGTAGTCCTTTTAGTATCATGAATACTGAGACTGGGTGGATATTAAGGATAATCTACATATTTTCCCAAGATTAAATAAACATTGCCTTTTTTCTGTTGGAAGAAAGATGCTGAGATGGGACAAAAGCAGATTTTGGAAATGCTACTACTACATCTGAGGTGGAAGCAAAGAACTCAAAATGTTTAAGTCAGAAAGTTTGGCAATCTGAAGGAGATGGAACATCCCATATCCAGGTTCAATAGCAAGGCTTTAAATATATCAGTTAAATCAGTGATGACACCCTGCAACTGAAGAAAGTAAGTATAGTTTCTATATTTAAAGCGGACAGAATATGAGTCTGGCAAATAAAGACTCACTGATCTTACCTCAAAAGAATGGAAAATAGTTAAAAAAAATGTGAAGGAACAAAGCCGTGGAAATTAATAGAAAACAGTATAAAATATAGTGAGTTTACCAAAAGTACACCATGCTAGACTAATTGTAGCAGGTCTGTGACACCCCCTACTGGCCTCTTTACTCCCGCCCAGTTCTGGCTCCTAAGGTTCTGGCTCCTTTTCATGCCTGCTGTGCCTTGATGCAATTACTGGTTTTTGAAATGGGAGGCTGCCCCAGGGTTCCAAAGTGAGCCCTTGCCCACTAATAGTCAGTGGATTCCTCCCAAACCCCTCCAATTTCTGCCTACCCCTCAGGCATTAGGTGTGGTCCTCCTGCCCCAGGGCACTAATCACCTTAAGGGGTAATTTTCTGGCCTCCAACCTCCCCTACAGCCACACCCATGTCCCTCAGGTGTTACCATTCCATCACTTTCCCTTGTTGGGGCTCTGGCCTTCTCAGCCCCTGCCCCTCTGCTC